ACCACATCTAGTGGATTCAACTGGATAGGCTAACAAAAGCAATGACACTTATATCGTCGTCGCATTTCATGCGCCACTGATAGGCTGCCTGACGGCTGACGCAGACCTAAAATTCGAATGCAACGTTTTTGCATTTGAATGTGGATTTTTTTAAATTTATTTTTTATTCTACGAATATTCGAAATTCGAAATTTTTTTTTTGACAGCCCTAGCACACACCAAGAAAACTCACACTCACACAGGCTCTGTTAATGTGATTCACACATGAGTGAGATTCATTTGAGAAAAAAAAAAAGTATGATAGTTGCTTGCAATACTGTGAATATGTGAATGGAAAGGCTACCATTTACCATCTTTAAAACCCAAAGAGAAAAATTCAGTTAGAGGATGTGGTATCAGAGTCTGACTTAAATGATAACATGACATTGATTTAACAGATTTAAACTGATTTTGTTTGTAATCTGAATGGTGTTTCTCTCCACACAGGCGGAGCTTGAGGCGAAGAAAGCCAAGATGAAGGGAACTCTCATTGACAACCAGTTCAAATGAAGATTGTGTGTAAATAAGAGAGACAGAGCAAATGAATGAGTTGTCTCATGTAGCTGCTGGAGAGGGTGTATATTTGTGCAGTTGTGTGTGTATGAAAGGAGGAGGAGGGTATTGTTTTTATTTCAATTTTTGTCTTTTTTTAAGTTACAGATTTATTTAAATGTTTGAATGGTAAAAATCAATTTCATGCTATTTTTCATTCAATAAAAACAACTGAATTTCATTATGTCAGCTGTCAAAATCATTTTTGTCTTTTGTTAGATATAGACATGTGCAGAGTTTGTAGGACTTGAGTTTCTCTGACATAATTTCAGGGCTACTGTGTTTGTGTAATGTTTGCAATAGCGTTTTTTGTTTTCCTGTCCTTCAACACAGCATGTGTTCATGGTCATATTCACACATGTTCAGTTCAGTTGTTCTGTTCAGTTTTGTGAGCAAGATCGATCAAGCAAATCTCTGGAAATGCCATGTGGACAGAACCTCTTAGAGAGCCTCTGAAGAGTGATGATCTGCACCTGCAGGTAGAAAGCTGTGTATTTGTACGGCTGGGCCAGTGTTTCTCAGTCCAATGCGGTCCGTGATTAATGATCAGATTCTGGATCAGTGAACAGTAGATGAGTATTACTTCACACCTGCACAGACCCCAGTGTGGGTGCAGTTAATTGCCCCTCATGCTGGACAGGCATCATACCAGACCGTCTGTAATGAACCAACCAGCTGCTGCTAACATACGACCAGATTATGATCCTAAATCGGGCAAACACAAACAGTTTGGAGACCGGAAGGGTGGATTATCATCTATGTTGGGTTGCACACTACATATGAAGTCTTTGTCTTTTCATATAATCAGTGTAGCAGTAATATAAGAACATCAGTAGTAATTATGTTTAATGTGTTGTAAATAGGACAAAGAACAAATGCAGGTTTGTTTTAAACATCTTCATTAGATACTTATTAAAACAGAAATTCTGTCCGGTAATTAGAGATGCTATTTTTGGGGTAAAAAGGTCAATGTGTTGGAGTTGTTTGGTGGTATAATGAGAAACATTAGGCGTGCAGTTCTGCTGTGAATGCCTCAGTGAAGAATAAATTGTTCATTTTAATTAAGAAAATTTTAAAATTTTGATAAATATTTGGTAATAGAAAACAATCAGCTCTATTTGATTTACAAACAGGCCGCTCAGGATTTGACTCCTCTGAGAGTTTCTAGAGGTGAACAGATTCTCTGCAGCTGCGCAGGCTACTTGACTGTATTTTCAACTTTTAATTTGTATAGTGTAAGATGGAGTACACAAGATATACCCAAGGGCAAGATGACCCCACCTTCATTTTTTGTCTTGATCATAGATGGCACAACATCTCTTCTCAGGAATTTTGATGAATGGCTATGCTATTTTTCATTTTGTCATTTCATCTGAATATCAACATTTCTGAGATTTAATAAGCAAAACTATTTAAATTAAGTTTTAAGGTTATTTGATCTAGTTTTTTGACTCTGAAAAATAGTGATCTATGACTATGTATTATGTTGAATATTATATAGAATATTTTCTATATAATATAAATATTATATAGAAAATAAGATATTTATAAGAGTGGCATATTGTTACTAGTGTTATTAATTTGACCTTTATTAGTTATTTTAATTAAAAGCGGTTGTTATTTAATATTACAATGAATTACATGTCCATTTCAGACATCTTCACATTAAAACCCATACTTTAATAGAGTGAAATCATAAAATTGGCATTCATAATGTTGCTATTTTGACATATATTCAATTAAAATATGGGAAGTTACTGTAAATATGGAAATATTTATATTCATATGTTTGTATATAATTTTACCTTTCAGATGAATCTCTTTTACATGGATTCTGCTTTGTTCGATTTGTTGTCATTTATTCAATTATTCAACTAAATTGTCAAAATAAAAATTTTAATAGAATAGTTGATACAGTATTTTACATTAATTATATTCAATATATATATAAATATTCGTTAGAATTATATCAAATCATTTATACATTCTGTAAAGGTTTATCCACAGGGCTAACTTACCCCGGCCCTCAACAGATATTTTCAATATTTTTTTTTGTCTTCAAATTATTTATCATATAAAATCAAAATATGTCAGTGTACATGATTATTTTCGACACAATACTGTCCGTAAAAAGTATTCTTGGAATGAAATATGACGTGTAAAGAAAACAAAGAGAAATTAAGGTAAATGTCACTTGTGAGCAAAATTTGAATTTCAATATTGTGTGGATTTATGACACAAAATGGCAGTTATAAAATTAACCTTGTGAGTTAGCCATTTTATTCCCCAAAAATTCAAAATGCCATTTCTACAGTATAACTACAAGTTACGTTTGTATGTAATGTTGCTAATGAGAGGAAAACCATGATGGAATTCTGATGTGATGTGATGTGATATTTAGTTTAGTAGATCTTCAGTAATTACTTTAAACCCTTTGCCTTATCATGTCATTAAGTCTGAATTTGGTTCACAAACGTCTTAGTATGACAGAGTGTGTGTACTCTTTCTATGCTAGAAAACAATACACTGGCCTACATTAACATTTTTCCAAGCATTAGCACAGTGGGAGATGCGACATGAATATAACAGGCTTATCTCTCTGTAGGAGGGTCCTACAGGCATGTGTGTGGCTAAAGGTTAATGTGTGATCATTTTAATCAGTGTTAAGGGTGTCTTGCAAAGATCCTGCAACAAATTACAAACTGCAAGGAAGACAATGCACCAAGTAAGCCTTGACTACATTTTAAACAGACTGCAGCAGCTTCTGTGGGCTGGCGTTTCAATTTCTGCCCTTGAGTTGTTTAATAAATCTGACACATGGCTCCTCAAGACAATCTCACGCTCAAACACTCCACTGAGCTCCACATCACGCTGCAGAGTATGGCTCGGTCCAGCCTGTCTCTCCTCATGGGCTCGGGAGAGCTGCCAACACAGAGACAGCGGGAGGCTGCAGGAACTTTTTCAATACTGGACGTTGCAGTGAGTGAGTCCGATTAATACACACTCGCTCCTGCTGTCCCACGGCTCCTCCAGTCAGATGTCTTATTGTCTTTGCCCTGTTAGCTTTTAATTAAAACCCAGCTAGTAATTTAAGCCCTTAAAGGGTTCTCTATAGTCCCTGTGTATTGAAAGCAGATGTGGATTTATTACAGCGTGTGACATGAATCATTGAAATACAGGCTCTATGCGGATGAGGATTTAGAGAGGTGGAGTATGAGAAACTTCATGAATATCAAGAGATTTTTTTTAAGTTTAAAGGGTTAGTTCACCCCAAAATGAAAATTCTGTCATTACTCACCCTCTTGTCGTTCCAAACCCGTAAGACCTTCGTTCATCTTCGGAGATGAGGGTGAGTATTAATGACAGAATTTTCATTTTGGGGTGAACTAACCCTTTAAAGGAAGTCCTCAAGTTCACGCTGATGGTGATGTGTGTGTTACTGATGGGGGTTGCAGGTGTTAGTGCAGATATAAGCATGCTGATGTGGGACAGTATGAGTGTTGACAGGGCGAGAAATTATTCTTTGGGTTGGAGGGAAATATGTGTGTTTCTGCCTGCTAGAAGGTCAATAAATCAGTTGCTTTAATTCTGACCTGTATATTTCTTTAATTCAGAATTGTATTTTATATAAATGCATTTATTTTAATATTACATTTTTTTATGTTTTTGAAAGACGTCTCTTACACTCAGCAAGGCTGCATTTATTTGATCAAAAATACAGTAAAAACAGAAACATTGTGTTTAAAATAATTGTTTTCTATTTCAATATATTTTTAAATATAATTTATTCCTGTGATGCAAAATTGAATTTTCAGCATCTTTACTCCAGTCTTCAGTCTTACACGATCCTTCAGAAATCATTCTAATATGCTAAATCGGTGCTGAGGAAACATAAATTATTCTTAAATGATCAATGCTGAAAACAGTTGTGCTGCTTAACATCTTTGTAATAAGCATATTTTTTTTCAGAATTCTTCATGTTCTAAGAACATTATTTGTTTTAAATGTCTTCAGTGTCTTATAAATTTCAAAAGTCCTTTAATGTCTTTTAAAATTTAAAAGTCTTTAGTGTCATGTCACTTTTGATCAATTTAATGCATCTTTGCTAAATAAAAGTAT